CGTGGTGCCGTGCTTCACAACGCTGGTCCAAGCCAACATAAAAAACAAGAAGATCTTCAAAGAGGCTGTGATGAACATGCAAGCGAAGGGGACGACAGACTACAAGACCGGCTTTCAGTTTGCCTTTGACCAGCTGTTAAATGTAAGACTCACACACTCATGTTTACCTACTGTAGTTATCTACATGAAGATACACTGGAATTCTAGCAACCACCCAGAGTACCTTAGCAACCACATTGCAACACCTTAGCAACTGCCCCTTGTACCCTAGCAACTGCATAGCAACCAACCCGAGTACCTTAGCAACCGCATAGCAACACACTAGCAACCGCACGGGTATTCTAGTAGCTGCATTTCTAAAAATCTATCTATCTCTGATAGACTGTATTGCCTTCAAAACATTCAAACTTTAAGCTTTTAAAACTACTTTAAACTTCAAACTATTTCAGACTGAAAACCATCAAACTTAAAACTTTTTTAAACTTTCTGGTCTGGCTTTCTCAAGCCAACTTAAAATTTGTCTTGACAAACTTTTTTTATCTAGTTTAATATTACAATTAAAACATTTAAGAAATATTGTATGCTTATTCCTTAAAAATAAGGTTTTAATAATTTTAGTTGTTGTAGTAGCAGCCTGTTACGTACATTCTACTCAACAATAGTAATATATTTCTGCCAATACCCTCAAGTTAAACCGAACTTTTATTTTGACGGGTTGCCGTGAATACCTTTACATTTCTGTGTGTGTATAACATGATGATAGTTTTACTCAGATGAAACAGTCAAATGCTCATGAAGTGACTCTCAGAGCAGTTCTGGAGATGTTGTTCATATATTTATGTCCTCATTATATGATATGAGGATAGTTTTATTCAAATGAAACGGTCGAATGCTCATGAAGTGACCCTCAGAGCAGTTCTGGAGATGTTGTTCATGTATTTATGTGTAAATAACATAAGGCTATTTAGTTTGCTTAATAAAAGAACAAGGTATATACCTGTTCTATAGGAAAGGTAACTTTAAATGACTTCTGTTGTGATCTGGCGCTATAGAGAAAATACAATTAAATAAAATTAACTTGACCTTCAAGGGGGGCAGGGCATAATATAATGGCAGGGGAAACATGTCGAACAACAGGCTAAGCATGTTTTATAGTTTGTGATAGATACGTCTAAATAATTGAACATCTGTGTCACCTGATATGTTACGTTCCTATAAAGTATTATCCCATTAGCTGTGTCACTTAATTTTTCAGATCATCTGAAACTGTGAAAATGTAAGTACCCTACAAGCCTCTTTGAGTTCATCACACTGGTGCTCGCTCATTGAAAATGAGTTACTATTCATTTCCCATAATGCAACTGTCAGGAGTTTCTGCCCTTGTGCCAATTTATCCTGTCAGATCTCATGGCACAATTAGAAGTTGCAGCCGTTTGTCACTGATAAGAGTGTCAACGTGCTCTTTGAGAGGATTAATAAGAACTCCAGAGACTGGCGCTTTTTAACCGGGTCGACTGGAGAGACCTTCATTTGATTTCATGCCAGTTTTACATGCATCCATCGTATCTAGAAAGTCCAGCATCTGTCTCTGTGTCATCAGTTGCCCACTTGGTTCATCAATCATCAATAATCTTTTTTTGCAGGAGGACACTCTGAAATGATTGGCAACAAGACTGTAAAGCTAAGAACTCATTGGCTTTGGCAGCAAAAATCTTAACATGGCAGATTTGGCTAACAGGCCAAAAAAAAAATGCAACAAGCATCAGTAAACAAAGCTCCATTTTGTCTTACCTGCAGTTCCTGCATCATCACTGGCACAATAGGTGCAAAAGGACAATACAAATCTTATTAAAACTGTGTAAAACTTATGTAATCTTGCTCTCGTATAGATTCAATACGTGAATGTGAAAAAAACAGGCCAGACAACAATAACCAGCATTAACTGCTTAAAATAATGACAACACGGTGATTCTAAGGAAAAACACTGATGGAACAACAGCTGTGAATGATAATATATTTTACATAAATGTCCTCGCGCTTGTTCAAATTAACATCTCACACACAGCTTATGACATATTTAGTCATACGAACACAAAACATACTCGATGCCACTCACATAATCTCATATCATGTCTAAATATCATGAGGAATAATTTTTCTTAAATAATAATATGTTATCAACATTAATAGTTAATTAAATAGCTTAAATACTGACTGAAAGAGACGCTTACCTCACCACAGTAACGTTGAGCGTGAACCAACATCGAAAGGGCGCGAACTGAGGGGAACGTGACGTCACGCATACCGTCAGATTACAGTTAAATGTGTAATTTAATATTGTAATATAAAATATAATACATGTACATATTAATATATATTTTTTTTACGTATGTTTTTGTTCGTTTTTAATCGTTCTAATTTCAACTATGAGAGTTTAGTGTCAGGTTACATCTATATGTGAAATCATGAATATAGGATTTGCACAATTAAATTGCCTGGCAAAATAACAGGATTATAGATCTGTCATTGTATTTTTATTGAGGTGCATTATGTGATTTATGGTCATTTTCAATATACAGAAAATTATTCTCATATTATATCAGCTGCTGGAATCTCATATTTTGTGGGCAATATGGGCATCTGTTTAAGAGTTGTATATATATCCGTTGTATATTCGTTAAAATGTCTCAGAGAACTGAGCTACTTTGAACTTAATTCACTTCAGCACTTAGCTTAAACTTCAGCACGACCCAGTCAGTTTTTGAAGCCGAGATTGAGCTTTGGCAGGAAATCTTTACCTTGATTTTAGTGAGTCTTGACAAGAAAGGGGAGTGTTAAATGGCCATATATCAAGGTGGGTGATGCTCATATTTGTGTTTATTGATCAGAAGTCTGTCGGCCACCTGTTATATAGTACAAATGAAATTCAATGAAACCTGCTGTTTTCTAATTCTTGTCCTAATTCTTTCATATCTTTTTTTTATGAAGTCTCAATAACAATAAAGCATCTTCTTTTATCAAAATAATCACAAGTGAAGGGGAAATAAACCTTATAAAGAGGCCTTCTGCAACATAAACTGAGGGGACTCAAATGAAAACCAGCTCTTTATTTTCTAATGAGAAGAAGCAGGCAGGGGGTCTGATCATCTTGTTCTTGTTTCATACTGCTGTATGTGCTGCGACTAATTGCTCGAAATTAGTACAAGTTCACTCCTGTCAGCACAATGCAATTAAGAAAACATTTCAAACCGCTGTGAGAGGAAATGCTCACATTTACAGTATAATGACAAACATGTATGTTATTAGTGTTTGAGAGCTGTACTTTCATAAGTATCAGAGTGTGATACTTCAACCAATCTGAAGATTGCCAGAAACTGGAAATATTAGGGGGTAGAAAACAGTGTTTTATTGTATTTTTCAGTTGGCCTGGAAGGTAATTATTTCTCTATAGTCTCCATGGAAACATTTTACCAGGAATGCATCACACCTCATATACACACATTTGCGCAGCGAATTAAGGGGTTGATTTCAGAGTGCGCTAATGGGAAAGGGTTTAATGATATTATCATTATGAGTGTTTGTGACCGCTGAAGTGTGACTTATGGACGCTGGTGCAGTCGGCAGGAAGCTGTTCGGCCCTTTTAATCAACCGCAGTGAGTGCTTATTTGAACCACTTTGTGTGTGTGTAAATCTATGCATTAGGATGTACGGCCAAATGTCAAAATGAAGGACATAGAGAGAGATGTTTGACTTCTAATTGATCTGATGTGATTCTGATATCCACTGCAGTGGACAGAGCTTTAAAAGTCGTTTTAACCATTTAGAGTGTTATGTTTTATTCATGCAACCCCATAGATGACCTTTGACCCTTTCTTATAGTTCTCTCCTCTTTTATGTTATTGTGTTTTTATTTACCAAAATCTAAATTCAGATGGCTAAGAAAAGTGTTGAAGAACACATTTAAAAGAAAAATGACTTGTGTTAGTGATGTTAATACTTTATTTTTATATCAGAAATATTAGACCGTCTGATAACTGTTTATGGGTGTTTGTCTCCCTCTTCTGGATATAGTGTGCATTGATATTTTATACTAAAATATTTGGAATATTTACTTTTTTTTGTATACTGCATGTTTTAATTGTAAACCAGCAGTCAATGTATTTGTACCAAATTACATTAAAGCCTTTCCATAATGATTGCAGCTGTATGAATACAATGCAAAATGTTTATTATTTATAAATATAATCATAATATGAATAAATAATATTTTTTTATTTTCATCTTCTTTGTTATTTACATTTCTAATAATACAATATTATAGAACAACCAATATCTAATTCAATACTTTATTTATTTGTATTATATGTATGAATAATAATATATATTAAATAAATAAATATATATAATAAATATAAATAAATATTATCAATCAATTAACATATCAAAATGTTTATCTTTTTTTCTTTATTCATGGTAAATGACTTTCATGAAATTGTATGAACAGTTATAGAACAACAAAACTATTTTAGAAAAAAAAAACATTAAAATTATAATAATAAAATTTAAGGACATTTAAGGTTAAACACTATGAGTAGTTTTTGACTTTTCAAAGAATCGAAAAGTCACACCAAAGACATAACACAGGCCTATAAATTATAGTTTACAGTTTACTAGAAAAATTTACAGTAGTGGGTTCGTACAAAAAAAAATGCATTTATGTATAAAAAAAAGGTTACCTAGAATAACAAGTATCCGGAAATTTGAGTAAAAAAAAAAATATTAGTAAATACTATGTAAAAAAAAAAAAAAGATAAAATAAAAAATATATATTGAAAGTTTGTATATTCATTCTTACTTCTTTTTCCTGAAAGAGCACGTTCCAAAAATCAAAATATATACCGAATAAATAGTCTTCAGATGTCGTCAGTGCGCAAGCGGGATCTCTTCACATCTCGCGAGACTCCGTCACGGCTCGTCGTTGGTGCTCTTCCGCTCTCGCGATACTCGTTCACATCTCACCGGTGGTGCGTCGTCTGTTTGCGGCTCGCGGAGAAGATGGCGGCGCGTAGTGGTTTTCAGCCTGCGACACCCGGAGGCGGCGGAGCCCCGATGGGACCCGGGCCGCCGGTAGCTGGTGCAGGGCCCGGTATGGGTCCCGGTACGCCCTCGGGACGGATGGGACCCGGCGGCCCGAAGGTGTACCGTTGATAAATATCGATACCGTTTTATCGTCAAGGTTTGTTGACTATCACAAGTTTCACATTTAGGAGAAAAAAATGCTGAGAATTTGTGCTGGCCACGTCTTGCATTCAAGGATGTATTATTTTTTTTGTGCTCGTGTGGGAACTTCAGCGAAACCTTGGAACACATGTACTCTTTTGTTTAGGAGAAAAGCAGTAGCTCGCGTTTGCACTCTCCAGTTGTTGAGATTCAAGGTTATTTATGATTCACATAAAGTAATTAACACATTGCATTTTCTTTTTGGGACTTGATAAATGAACTCGACAGCTTGTGCACTTTTAAGTGCCCTTTTCAGGCATGAATAGACTCCAGTATTTGGCTCTTGACATTTACAATGAGAGGGGAACCATCAGCCAGAGCAATGGTGCTGTTTAACAGAATCGTATTTGAAAACAAATCACTAAATGCTTTGGTATTTATAGTGGTTACCCTTTTTATGACCGCAATATAAAATCCAATAATTTTTTTAATATGTTTAATTTCAACAACTTATATCAAATTTTCTATAATTAAATCCTTATTATATGTAAATATTTAAATTATATGTATTATTATTTGGTCAAATATTGATTTGTACTATGCTATATGATAAGTCTTATTGCTATCTCATATTGCTCTGTAAATACTAAGCCAAAACAAGAATTCACATCACAACAGCTGGTCTTGTGCTTTTTGCCCATTTGGGTAACTGTCCTTCATTGCTGCCTTTGCAGAGACCAGGAATGCCTCCAGCCAATCGAATGACCCCTCAGGGACCCTCCATGGGACCCCCAGGTTACGGGGCTAGTCCAGTGTCCCGCCCCGGTATGCCGGTCATGGACCCGTCCCGCAAGCGACCGCCGCCAAATCAGATCCAACAGGTCCAGCAACAGAATCGCAACCAACAGTAAGTCCAGTTAACACTTCATTTGATGATTAAGTAACAGAATTTATTTGAAGTGCTTAAATAGATCCATCACTCTCTCACACAATGCTCTTTTTCATTTCAGTGCCAAGAAGAAGAAAATGGCAGATAAAATCCTACCTCAGAGAGTACGTGGCCATGAAATTTGTTAGATTCTAAATCCCCAAATGTGTCTGAAGAGTCTTTAATTGTTCAAGATGTGTAATTACAAGTACAAATAGATAGCCTTGATTATTTATTTATACTTTAATTTTTTTTTTTGCAAAAGCTCTTCAATGTTAATGTAATTGGTATCCTTTTTTCCTGTATACTTTTCAACCCATGCAAGTAAGAAAAACCTTGATAGATGATATTAGCTGAATGCATTATTCAAAAAGAAATGAAGCGACGTGACATGTGGCCAAGTATGGTGACCCATACTAGGAATTAGTGCTCTGCATTTACCCATCCAAAGTGCACACACACAGCAGTGAACACACACAAACCGTGAACACACACCCAGAGCAGTGGGCAGCCATTTTATGCTGCGGCGCCCGGGGAGCAGTTGGGGGTTCGGTGCCTTGCTCAAGGGCACCTCAGTCGTGGTATTGAAGGTGGGAGAGAGCGCTGTACATTCACTCCCCCCACCTACAATCCCTGCCGGTACGAGACTCAAACCCACAACCTTTGGGTTATGAGTCCGACTCTCTAACCATTAGGCCACGACTTCCAGTGGATCTCAAATAGACACTTAAAAACAAAGTTGTGGAGGATTAAAAACCGCTCAACAGATATGGTTCAAAAAGCTGTAGATGATCTTGATTTTCTCTGTGGCTTTATTTCAGATCAGAGAGCTTGTTCCCGAGTCTCAGGCGTACATGGACCTGCTAGCGTTTGAGAGAAAGCTCGACCAGACCATCATGCGCAAAAGACTTGATATTCAGGAAGCTCTCAAAAGACCCATCAAGGTACATGCAGACTCTTTACCAAAATTGTCCTGACTCCTTTAGAAGAAAAATTGTGTCTGAGCTTCCATCTTGAACTACAATTGTTCAAAAGGTGTAACTTTGTTTTGTGCAGCAAAAAAGAAAACTTCGGATATTTATCTCCAACACCTTCAACCCTGCCAAACCAGATGCAGAGGATGGTGAAGGAACCGTTGCATCTTGGGAGTTGCGTGTGGAGGGACGACTTCTTGAAGACGTAAACGAGATTCTGTCATCTCACAGACTTTCAAGTTGAACTCTTTATTGTTTATTATTTCTGAAAACTCTGAATGTGTTTCTGTCTCAGAATGCTGTGTCCAAGTATGAAGCCACCAAGCAGAAGAGGAAGTTTTCTTCTTTTTTCAAGTCTTTAGTGATCGAGTTGGACAAAGACTTATATGGGCCTGACAATCATTTGGTGGAGGTGAGATGCAGAAATGTGCATTTCTCAACTGTAGTGCTTTAAATTTAGTTTACTGATGTACTGTCCACTAGATCTCTTGTATTGCCACTTTTGTGCCATTTGTCACTAATTAAAGTGCCTTTGTCTTGTTTCCAGTGGCACCGAACAGCCACGACTCAGGAGACTGATGGATTTCAGGTGAAGAGGCCTGGAGATGTTGGCGTCCGTTGCACTGTGCTGCTCATGCTGGACTACCAGGTGATGACAAACATGACAAAGCACCAATATACATTGTATACATAATGCATGAAGTATGCTATTCCAAACTTAGCCCTTGTTGTTCTTCAGAAACTACCAGCAGGTGGCACCACTCCACGATGTGAGTAACTGTGACTAATGGAACAAACTGTTCTCTTTCTAGCCTCCTCAGTTTAAGTTGGACCCCAGACTTGCCCGGTTGCTGGGGATCCACACTCAAACGCGGCCCGTGATCATTCAGGCTCTGTGGCAGTACGTGAAGACCCACAAACTCCAGGACCCTCATGAACGAGAGTTCATTAACTGTGATAAATACCTCCAGCAGGTAACAAACATTAGAGTTTGTCTTTTGAAGCTTTGACCTCACTAATCTTAGGTGTCTTAAACTGGAAATGTTTGCTTAGACTTGACTGTAGGAAGTAGCATATAAGCTAGTTGTTCACAATATTACTTCTTCAGATTCTCTTGCCTTTTTTGTGTTCGGTATGAGTCAGGTGGATTTTGCACAGTCCATATATTTGCTGCCAGAGGCTTGAAAGTTGGTTAACCAGGACAGTACACTGTAAAAAATGTCCCTGTAAAAAAACGGTGATCTACTGGCAGCTGTGGTTGCCAGCATCATACTGTAAAAATACAGTGTGCTACCGTTTTTAAAATTAACAGCAAAATGCAGTTTTGTCATCTACAGTGTACAACTGTAATTCAGCAGCATATATCTGTTAAATTACATACTACTCATAACCGCATGATCTCAATTTTACATTTATATTATACCCTGCATTTTCTAATTGACTGTGTATTACAAAAGAGAACAAAGTTAAGTTATGTTTTGTTATTTTATTCTGATACAACAATAGATAAACTTTTACAATATGCCCTAAAACAGGCATGCATACAAACATCCATAAAGTTTTTATTTGTTCATAAAATACAAATGTACTCTCAAATTAGGCTTCAGTGAACACCAGCTAATTTTTTTTTTTTTTCAAAACAAATGGTTTATAAAATACAAATCCGCATTTGCCAATTTAAACTCCAGTATGGATGATACTTTACTGGAGATCATCTTCAGTAAAGTATCAGCCATATTGGAGTTTAAATTGGCAAATGCGGATTTGTATTTTACCAACCATTTGTTTTGAAAAAAAAAATGCAAAAGAAAATGGGGATCAAACTTTAAAATACTAAGACATATACAGTAAATGGAGCATAAAGGTAATTAGTCACATGATTTAGCCAGTTTTCTGAAGTGATTCAATTTGTTTGGGTGAAAACATTTTTCACCGTACATTTTGCAATTCCAGTCTCTAATTTGTGGTCCTTTGGTCTGATATCTTGATATGAGACAAAATGACTGGTGATTAATCATACCTTTATGTTCCTTTTGAAACTCGAAGGTTTGGTTCCCACTGGTCTTCCACTGTATGGGCAAAACAGACATAATTTCTCCACTACGATATCTTCATTTGTCCTCCGAGACATAAGGTTGAGTAAATGATGAGATAAAAATTTTTAGGTGAATGATTACTTGAACAAACAATAGGCAAACTTACATTTTCTTAAAGAATGAGTCCTTTGCTTCTCTACAAAGTCAGCCTTCAGTAGTTGAACTTCACATCTGCTGCTATTTTTGCAATCGCTAGCAGTGGTTTGAATACACACGTTCACAGTAATCATGCAAGAATTATGAATTTTGTTCGTACACACATATCTTTTGCTTAGATAAAGATTGGGACATGTGTCCGTTGCATAAATTGTGTGACGGTAATAAATAACAAATCAAATGCAGTCTGAGTATATGCTAACGAGCTAACAATGTTATCATATCTTACTCCGTTACTGTTCCATGATTAAAACACACTATCCTGTCATCAAATTACGCTTTGCTGGCTCATTATAATGTATGTTAATATTTAGCCGTGTACTCGATAACTTACAGATAGAACCAAAAGCGTAGTTTCAAATAACAGCAGCAGATAATAGACGGTTTGAACTTCACTCTAAAATTGTAACCACAAAAGAAAAAAAAACAGTAATTTTTTACTCAGATAAAGTTTAGGATGTGCAGGTAAAAAAAAAAAGAGAGAAAAAAAAAGAGTTTCTTACCAGTTTGTGTGTGATATGATGCCAGTCTGTACAAAGGGCTCACCCTCCTGTGGTAACTTGCTGATTAAAACATGGTCACGAATCCGATTTAAATCCCAAAAGTTTAATTGGATGTTTAAACGTTAATATGTAATAGTAATAAGTACTTTAGAAATAAAACAATAAAAGGCAGAGCTGCAAAATGACCTCGTGCAGATAAACCAAAATGTCTTCCTATGCGCACATGTACAAGGGAAAATATGGTATTATGCTGCTAAAAAACAGTATCATACTGTTGCTGGTCAACATATCCCACAATGCATCGTAAAAAACAGTAACGTACTGTTATTATATGAAAACAGCATTTTACAGTTAAATTTCCTTGTAAATTTACAGGAATTTTTACAGTGTATAGCTGTAATGCTAATGGCTTCAGATCTGTTTAAGAAATGTATGTTTTTTCTTGTTCTTGATGTTTGAAACCCAATAACTGTTGGGGGTTCTTGTTCTAAATCTATGAAACTCAATAATTGATGGTTCTCCTTGTTTAAGATCTTTGAAACCCAATAATTGTTGCTTCTCCTAAATCAGTAAAACCCAAAAAATCAACAATTTGCCTCATTCAAGATCTTTGAAACCCATTAGTTGCTGTTTCTCCACCTTGGAAACCCTCCTTATTAATATATATATATATTTTTAAAGATAAGATTACCCAATTGCCCCAGTTCTTTTCATTCTATATATTTGAAATGCAATAATTATTGGTTCTGATTCAAGATCTTTGGAAACCAATAATTGTTGGTTCTCCTCGTTCAAGATCTCTGAAACCTGATCATTGTAGGTTTGCCTTGAGATATTTAAAAGCCAAAATTGTCAGTTCTCCTTGTTAAAGATTTACCTAGTTGCCTCAGTTCTTCTCACTCTAGATTTTTGAAACCCAATAATTGTCAGTTCTCACTCAATATTTTTGCAAACCAATACTCTTTGGTTTTCCAAATTCAAGATCTTTGAAATCCAATAATTTGATTCTCATTGTTCTAGATCTTTGAAACACAGAGGATGAAGTTTTCTGAGATTCCTCAACGGCTGCATGCACTACTGATGCCCCCCGAGCCAATCATCATCAACCATGTCATAAGGTGACCATCACCCACATGATGTCACTCAGAATTTTGTTTCTGCTTCGTCAGTGATTAAACACCTAAATATCCCTTTGTATCTCAGCGTGGACCCAAACGACCAGAAGAAGACTGCGTGCTATGATATAGACGTGGAGGTGGACGACACCCTGAAGACCCAGATGAACTCTTTCCTGCTTTCCACGGCCAGTCAGCAAGAGATTGCAGGCCTTGACAACAAGGTATGAAAGTTTTGCATATGGCCGAAAGCCTCCTTGTTCTGGCTGGACAAACAGTCTTCAAAGTGCTCGGCACATCACTGCAGGGGAGAGCTCTGCCGTTGCCTTTGCACTGATGTTTTGTTGCACATCCTGTGCTTGTCTGCTGCATATCAAAGTGGCTCTTGGCAACACGCCGGTCTGAATGTTTTCAAACGGTTTTGTTGCGGATAGAAGCCAGGGAGTGGTCCAGGAAAAAGCATCCTGCTTTCTGTCGGCTCTGGACATGTTTAATTTTATTCTACTGTTTGCTAAGAGTCTTTGGTAGTCTAGTAACCACTTCAGGGATTGCAACCAGACTCACCGTGGATACATTGTTGCCACAGTTACTCCATGCTTGTTGTAATCATAATTTTCAGCTCAAGTGAATTGATTGAATTGCTGAGATAAATCATCTGTGGGTTAAAGTTCAGTTCATTTGGGTTCCTCTATCATTTCTATGGCACTGCACTCAATCAAAAGTGGAATTGTGATTCATTGGCCAATATTATATTATCTGTATATTGACCGCCAGGCTTTTCAACTGTCATACACATAAGTGTGACCATTTTTTTTGCTTTTCCCCTTTGACCCAGTTGAACCACTAGTCAGTTTGCAACAGTCAAAATGTGTCCTTCACAGTCAGTGGTTGACCTTTGTATTTAGTGCCAGTTTGTGTTTATGAAATATGAGACTACAGTAAAACCTGTATGATGTTAAGCAAGATGGTTTGTGTGTGATATGATGCCAGTCTGTACAAAGGGCTCACCCTCCTGTGGTAACTTGCTGATTAAAACGGTCGCGAATCCAATTTAAATCCCAAAAGCTTAATTGGATGTTTAAACGTTAATATTTAATAGTAATATAAGTACTTTAGAAATAAAACAATAAAGGGCAGAGCTGCAAAATGACCTCGTGCAGATAAACCAAAATGTCTTCCTATGCGCACATGTACAAGGGAAAATATGGTATTATGCTGCTAAAAAACAGTATCATACTGTTGCTGGTCAACATATCCCACAATGCATCGTAAAAAACAGTAACGTACTGTTATTATATGAAAACAGCATTTTACAGTTAAATTTCCTTGTAAATTTACAGGAATTTTTACAGTGTATAGCTGTAATGCTAATGGCTTCAGATCTGTTTAAGAAATGTATGTTTTTTCTTGTTCTTGATGTTTGAAACCCAATAACTGTTGGGGGTTCTTGTTCTAAATCTATGAAACTCAATAATTGATGGTTCTCCTTGTTTAAGATCTTTGAAACCCAATAATTGTTGCTTCTCCTAAATCAGTAAAACCCAAAAAATCAACAATTTGCCTCATTCAAGATCTTTGAAACCCATTAGTTGCTGTTTCTCCACCTTGGAAACCCTCCTTATTAATATATATATATATTTTTAAAGATAAGATTACCCAATTGCCCCAGTTCTTTTCATTCTATATATTTGAAATGCAATAATTATTGGTTCTGATTCAAGATCTTTGGAAACCAATAATTGTTGGTTCTCCTCGTTCAAGATCTCTGAAACCTGATCATTGTAGGTTTGCCTTGAGATATTTAAAAGCCAAAATTGTCAGTTCTCCTTGTTAAAGATTTACCTAGTTGCCTCAGTTCTTCTCACTCTAGATTTTTGAAACCCAATAATTGTCAGTTCTCATTCAAGAACTTTGTGAACCAATAATTGTTGGTTCTCCTCATTTGAGATCTTTGAAAGCCCAGTAATTGTTGATTCTCATTGTTTTAGATTTTTGAAACCCAATAATTGTCAGTTCTCACTCAATATTTTTGCAAACCAATACTCTTTGGTTTTCCAAATTCAAGATCTTTGAAATCCAATAATTTGATTCTCATTGTTCTAGATCTTTGAAACACAGAGGATGAAGTTTTCTGAGATTCCTCAACGGCTGCATGCACTACTGATGCCCCCCGAGCCAATCATCATCAACCATGTCATAAGGTGACCATCACCCACATGATGTCACTCAGAATTTTGTTTCTGCTTCGTCAGTGATTAAACACCTAAATATCCCTTTGTATCTCAGCGTGGACCCAAACGACCAGAAGAAGACTGCGTGCTATGATATAGACGTGGAGGTGGACGACACCCTGAAGACCCAGATGAACTCTTTCCTGCTTTCCACGGCCAGTCAGCAAGAGATTGCAGGCCTTGACAACAAGGTATGAAAGTTTTGCATATGGCCGAAAGCCTCCTTGTTCTGGCTGGACAAACAGTCTTCAAAGTGCTCGGCACATCACTGCAGGGGAGAGCTCTGCCGTTGCCTTTGCACTGATGTTTTGTTGCACATCCTGTGCTTGTCTGCTGCATATCAAAGTGGCTCTTGGCAACACGCCGGTCTGAATGTTTTCAAACGGTTTTGTTGCGGATAGAAGCCAGGGAGTGGTCCAGGAAAAAGCATCCTGCTTTCTGTCGGCTCTGGACATGTTTAATTTTATTCTACTGTTTGCTAAGAGTCTTTGGTAGTCTAGTAACCACTTCAGGGATTGCAACCAGACTCACCGTGGATACATTGTTGCCACAGTTACTCCATGCTTGTTGTAATCATAATTTTCAGCTCAAGTGAATTGATTGAATTGCTGAGATAAATCATCTGTGGGTTAAAGTTCAGTTCATTTGGGTTCCTCTATCATTTCTATGGCACTGCACTCAATCAAAAGTGGAATTGTGATTCATTGGCCAATATTATATTATCTGTATATTGACCGCCAGGCTTTTCAACTGTCATACACATAAGTGTGACCATTTTTTTTGCTTTTCCCCTTTGACCCAGTTGAACCACTAGTCAGTTTGCAACAGTCAAAATGTGTCCTTCACAGTCAGTGGTTGACCTTTGTATTTAGTGCCAGTTTGTGTTTATGAAATATGAGACTACAGTAAAACCTGTATGATGTTAAGCAAGATGGAGTGTGATTGCTCTTATACAACAGTTCAATAAAGAACTTTATATTGAGTACACATCAAAACTAGTGAACCAGAACTAACTGTTGTATAAATAACATGTTGTATAATGGTAATCATGATCCCTCATGTATGTTTGCTTGTTCTCGTAGATTCATGAGACCATCGAAACCATTAACCACCTGAAGACTCAAAGGGAGTTCATGTTGAGCTTCGCACGAGACCCGCAGGGCTTCATCAACGACTGGCTCCAGTCACAGTGCCGAGACTTGAAGGTGAGTCCAAATACTATAAGAAGTAGTGGCATTACCACACTTTTTACCCTGATTCCATGATAATGCCATGTTTTTATGGATACATATGTAATGTCCTATTGTGTTTTTAAATTGCACTAAGGGGAGTTGCACTGTAATTTCATTGTATTTTAACTGAACATGAATTTGGAAGTTCTATTTTATCTTATAAAACCTGCAGGGTTCATAAATTCTTCTGCTAAGTTCTTAGTTCGCTTGTCGGAAGAGGTTGTTTAACCTTCGCCCAGAGCTGTAGTCTTTCTCCATCTGTCTGTTTGCTCAGCTGAGTGTTACTTAGTGGACTGACTAGACTTGTAATGACTGTGGGGGTTGGCGGGGTGTTTCACAGGCAGTTGTATGGGATGCTGAATTTCTAAACAGCTAGGGAAAATAAAGCTTGCAACTGTTTGCTCAATCATAATTTTTCAGTCTAAAAATATAGCATCTTTTGCGAAGCAGTTGCATGTATTTCACTGGGATTGAGCGTTGCAGAAAGTGTGTTGCTCCAGACAAAAGGCATTAATCAGTAACTGTTACATCTTGTTCTGCTGACGTCTGAATTCGGCATCCTTGCAGACCATGACAGATGTGGTTGGAAACCCGGAGGAGGAGAGAAGAGCCGAGTTCTACTACCAACCCTGGGCTCAGGAGGCTGTGTGCCGATATTTCTATTCAAAGGTAATGCTTTACACTTATTTAGCCACTGAAATATTTGAAATCTCAAAGGTTGCATGGAAAATCACTCTTCTTTTTATTGACGTTTCTCTCAATCTTGTTCTCTAAGGTTCAGCAAAGGAGACAGGAGCTGGAACAGGCTCTTGGCATTCGAAACACATAAGCAAGCTCACGGCCGTTATGACACAGGACCAGAGGGGGTTCTGGGTAGCAAATGTGTCCTACTGCTCTGTGCTGCAGATGCTGATCACTACAGTTATATTACAGTTTATCTTGTGCTGTCCTGCTGTAGCTGCCCAGGAATGACCCTTATATAGAAACAAACTTATTTCTGTTGTGACTCCGCAAACTAACACCCCGTTGTCTGCTGTCATCCTTATTTTTACATATTTCACGGTTCCCATGTGACTGAACATTTGTCAAGGTGATTTTGTAATGCTGTCACTTTGGAAAATGTAGTTTTCTGACCAAACTGACAGGCTTTGTTGGATAATTTAATTCCAAATCGCAAGAATGCTCTTGGACGTGCTAATGTTTGAGCCCATTCGCTGCTTTCCATATTAACCAACCAGTTGGAGGGGTCATTGATTATTTTAAAGTTATTGATTTTGTCTTTGATATTTGAATGTTCTCATAATATGAGCTTTATGAAGATCTAGTCTAGTTAAGCATAGATGGCGGATAATGACGTAGTTTAGTACCTCAGCTCTGTGAAGATGAATTATTTGGAGGAAGCTTCTCAAACAAGTCTGTTGGCATTAAAGGCAAGCTTTACTGGTTAACGTTTGCTACAACACTCAGTAAATAAGACTTTTTCAGAAGTCCTCTGTTCAATAGTCGTTTTAGATCCACAAGATTAGATGTAATGCTGATCGACCTGTTTGATTATAGATCTTTTGGTCACAAGCTTTGCCCTTGACTGTAAAGTACTTCCAATCTAACCTCGCTGTGATATGTATTAATACATTTAGAGAATTGCCTTTATAGTTTTTTTTTGGTTTATTTGATTAATTATCGTCATTAAAGTCAAGTTGTCACTCTGAAAGGAGGACAGTGTGAAAAACCTGCCAAGGTGAGTACTAACCAGCCATGGCTACCCACAAAATGTCTGGGAAAACGGTCAAGTGTTTTAATATTTTATAGATGCGCTGCAGACAGGGCCATGGGTTCTTCCACTCAAGTAATTCAAAGCGTTTAGAAGACAAGTGCTAAAGACTTTAAAGGAACACTCCACTTTTTATGAAACTAGGCTCATTTTCCAACTCCGCTAGAGTTAAACAGTATAGTTTTACCATTTTCGAATCCATTCAGCCGATTTCCGGGTCTGGCGGTAGCACTTTTAGCTGCAACTTGGCATAGATCATTGAATCTGATTAGACCGTTAGCATCTCGCTCAAAAATGAGTTTCAAAATTTTTCCTATTTAAAACTTGACTCTTCTGTAGTTACATTGTGGACTAAGACCGACGGAAAATGAAAAGTTGCGATTTTCTTGCATAGGGAGTGTGCTGGGGACTATTTTCAAGCGCTGCGTAATATCATTGCACCTGCTGCACCCATGTTACGGCAGCAAAGTTCCTTGATTATTAAGCCGGAATGAGAGTATAGTTCCTAGCCATATCGGCCTAGAAAATCGCAACTTTTAATTTT